AGGCCCCCCCCCCCCCCGCCGTGGCAGTCAGTGCTTCACAAATGGGCACGTTGGGCCGTTAAGTGCTTATACTTACAATTCTCCTAATATTATGTAACGCCATTCTAATTAAATAAAACATGCTGGCTTTGTAATTCTGTTTCAGGAATCTCCCCTCTTTTCACCTCTTTATTCAGAACATCCTAACTAAGCAGATAGCTATAAACAGACTGTCTCGTGGTTTGATACCCCAGGCAGTGTCTTTTCTGAAAATGTCTCTCCTCCTTCCTGTTGCTCTTTGGGCTCATCTCTGGGGTGTCTCACCTGTCACCTTGCTCTCCTGTCGCTACCTGCACCAGACCATGCTATCTCCAGGTACCCCAGCACTGTCTCCAAAGTGGCCGGGTGGCCAGTAGCCGGGTGAGGAAGCGGAGGCTGGGGATGTTAGACTCCAAGGCTGCCTCGGGGTTCAGGTTAGGCTGGGGCAGCATGGGAAGCAGCTGCATTTATCCAGCATTTAAAAACGAGCCATTCTTCGAGCAAAGAGCGCGATATGTATTGCTCAGTGTATGAGCTAAAGGCTATCACTATCTGCACGTTAACAATGAGGAAACCTCGTCCGAGACGTTAGATAATTTTCCCACGGTCACAGCTCAGAGTGACACAGTGAGAAGTCCCTCTCAGGTCCTATCCCAAAGATTGAGCTCTTAACTGCTGGCTGTCTTAGGAAACCTCTAGAAAAGTCTTTATCGAAGTGTGGTCTTTGGACCTCCTGAATCAGAATCAGGGGTTGAGGAGGGTGTGCTTCCTAACAGTGCAGATTCCTGGGCTTAGATCTGCTGATTCAGAATTTTGGGGCCAAGCATCACTCTGGAGTTGCTGCCTGGGTCCACCTCATCTCCCCTCTGCATCCCCAGGGTCCAGTCTTCTCCTGTAACCCTCAGGGCTGTAACTTCCTCTGGAATAATTCGGCCCTGGAGGGGATTCGGAATATTCTACCACATTCTTGTTGGAGACAAGGGTTGGTTCAGGCTCAGGGTGACCCCTTCCCTCCTCTTCCTGGATGGAGTGTCCTGGGACAATGCCTGCTTCAATTTGCAAGGAGCCTGAGGGTCTCCGAAGCCTCTCTGGAGCTTTCTGAGGTGCCCAGCAGATTGGCCCAAGTCTCCCTGATCTAACTCTGAACTTTCTAGCAACTAAAGCTTGCTCAGGCTGCTTCCTGTCATGGGCAACCCTCATGGGCTTAGCGATTTGGCACCTTGGGCTAACAGGGAGGTTCACTTTCTTCCCTGGAGTGTGCCCAGCCTCTTTGCGGGGCTGCAGACAGCTCCTCTGCTGAGTCATAGGCTGAGGGGCCTGTCCCCAGAGACAGCATTGCCCCTCCTCAAAGCCAGCAGAACAAGGGCAGTGCTTTCCCTGGCTCCTGCCCCGTTAGCCTGGGATCCTCTTTAGTCTGGGTGGAGACTGAGGCAGATCAAGCTTCCTCATTTCAGTTTTGTCGCAGCATCTGCTGGAGCCTAAGGCGCCGGAGGGAACAGGCCCTAGGAGTCATAGGAATTTACAGATAGAGAGCTACTCTGCTCTCTTGTCTGCTGGGCTGTGGTGGCCATATTGGGGCTTCTGCCCCTTAGATGGCTGTGATCATCCTGTAACTGACTGTGTTCCAGGCATTCTGTTCAGTTTGGCGCTGCCTTTATGTTACATGTGTTAATTACTTTGTTTCCAAAACAAAATGGGTATCAATTGCTCCTCCCGCCTCAACTGGGACCCTGGGTGGCAACCAGGTTCTGCCTTCTTTGTTGAACCTGACGTCTTGGAGCTCTTCAGGGCTCCTCAAAGATCCTGGTTCTCCCACCTCAGGGGCTCCCAGCCCCTTAGATCCATGCTTGTGGAGAGCCAGGACTCTCAGCCCAGGCCACTCTTATAGGGACGGAAGGGGACCCACGTGCATGGAGAGCTGCCTCTGAGCTGAGCACAATGATAGAGACTCAAGTGACAGCAGCTGGGAACCCTATAAAGGTGAGGTTTGTGTTTTACAGTTTGAGGTTCCTGAGGGGCTCCTAAGGACCTCATGGAGATTAAGAAATGTGTCCGAGGTCCTAGCGGAGAGTTAGCAAAGTATCTGGCCCCGGATTCTGGGCTCTCTTCCCACTGTGCTGTGCGAAGCATCCCAGCATCCAGCGCCACCCGCTTCTCAGGTTGCCTTGTGGACCAGGAGACGTTTGCAGGTTACATGGGATGGGGATTACTTAATACTAATACTGATGCTAATATTAAAACTAAAAGTAATAGAAGCTGGTTAGTCTAGTGTGGATTCTGCCTGCTCAATATAAAGATCTTTTCAAATCAAGGGTGTAAACCAGGATGATATTATCTACCTACATAGTACCACCCTCCTATCCATTTACTCTGGATCATGCCTGCGTCCCCTCCTGTTCATTTCTCTCACTCAGATTAGGTTCTTTATGGTTAACTTGATGGCAGAGGCCTCAACTGTTTCATTCCCCTCTGTATCTGCAGTGCCCCTGGCCAGCGCCTGGCACACAGTAGGTGCTCACTAAACCCTTGTTTTCGCTACAGCTTAGCCGTACACTCCCTCGAGACAGGGGCTGCACACTCGCCATTGTTTCCCGGCACCAAGAATGGCGCCTGGCCCGCAGGAGGAGCTCAATAAATATTGAATGAATGAGGGAAATGAAAGTGAGTAGACAAATACAGTGAAGCTGCGTGTTACAATGGAAGAGCACTGGCTTTGGTGTTGGGACGTGGCTCCTAGCCCTGCCGTGTGACCTTGAGCAATCCACTTTTCAGCTGACCCCCGTACGTCCCCATGTTGAATAAGACCCCTCTAGCGCCAGGCCTGGCCAGTGAGGCTCCGTGTCCATGAGGTGCATCAGTTTCTCAAAGGCAGAACTTCAGCTACTCAGAGGGGCTTGTCCGGGCTTCGCAGCTGGAGAGGGTTAGAAGTAAAACACTTTAGTTTCTCGCCTTTGGTTTTGTTTCTTAGATTATCCTTTCTTCTCTCTATATTGTGAAAAGGTGGTGGTTTTTCTTTCTGCCAAATGGACAGAGTGTATATTTTGGTGTGGAACATTCTTCATTGTTGCGGAATTAGCCTGCAGCCCTTTCTAAGAGCACACGGATGCGTGACCCCCTCCTTGGTAGTGCTGGGGCTCCACCTTAGGACACAGGCTCGTAATGCATGTTTAATGCCTGGGCTCTGTTAGAAAAAGTAGGGCCAGGGAGTTACCCAATTAAGAATTCATCCAGTTCGTGTGCCCAGAGGGCCCGTGTTCACACAAAAGTCCTTACAATAGTCATGATGATCATTTCCCTAGCGCTGCCATATCATCCACCATAGTCTGGGAGCCCCTGGACACAGCCATGTGGCAGCTGGTGGCATAAAGAATTCACTGCACCCCTCCCATCCCTGGGGACCTGCCCTGCGATTGCAGGAAAGAGGAATAATGGCCACGATAATCATCCTGATGAGAATAATGATAGCAATCACATCTCTCATCCAAGGAACACAGTATGGTCTCGTAACAACGTTTAGTCCAACATTGTGGGACGTAGTAGGGGGAAGAGTCCGGGGAGTAGATAAGATGCTCTCGTGACAGGAATGAGAAAGAAGCAAGGGGTCTGGCTTTTGGAAGGTGCCTCTTTTGTGGGCCGTCTGAGGTCTTTTGTGGGCTCCCACTAATGCCTTCTTTTCCTCTTCTTTCTGCATCCAGCATGATCTACACTTTAGTGAGCTCTTAACTCAAAGACCACGCACATCCTCAGAGACTGGGATGGGAGAGGCCCGAGGCTGCGCAGTCCACTTCTGCTGGTGATGGGAGAAGGGACCAGTGTGGGGATGTGACAGACAGAGACGGGCAGACACTCTGAATCGGGAGCCGGAAGCATGCAGCAGCCAGCGGCCGAGTGCGCACGTGTTGTCACCCTGTGTATCAGTCTTTGGCGTTCACACCCCACACTCGGGGCTGTAGATCCCTTCTGAGCAGCGGGGGCACGAGGGGTGACGAAACGCGAAACCTCTTCTGAGCGAGAATTGCTGCTTCCTGAATCCACTTTATTGAATGGCTCCCTGAAGTTCACACTGCGTTCCTGGGCCGTGGGCGTGGAGGCTGGATGGCTGGCAGGTGCCTGCTAAGGAACAGCGTGACCCAGGGTCAAGGCTGTATCTGTGGGACTGATTGAAGTCCTCAAGGACGTCACCGGCTACCTGAGACTTTCATGTTTCTTCCAAGACCTGACCACGCCCTTCACTTCAATGGGAGGGGCCTGGAAGGTGTGCAGATTTGCCTTGGGCTATAACCAGCCCTGAGCCTGCAGGGGTGTCTATTTTCCTGCTCTGCTTTGTAAGAGCCCAGCTTAGGATGTTAGTGACATCACAAGCTGAATTTGGGACAGTATGTTAGTAAGGAGTTATGGCCAAAGTCAGGGCTTGGGGGTGGTGAGATGGAAAGCAGGGAATCATAGGAAAAAATGATTTTTTAAAACACTGATGACATGTTCAAGGTGTTATTTCTTCACCACCACAAACTGTATTCTTCTGTTGTCATCCCAAACTATCACAGAGTCGCTGAATGCAAATCAATTGGTCAACACTAGTCAAAGCTACTGACTTTTAAGGCTCCCAAAACAATTCTGAGGCCAGAAAAAGCTGGAGTGGCAGCTCTGTACTGTGGGCATCCGGCAGTCGAGAAGTGAGACAACATAATTATAGCTTCATTTATGATGCTGCATCATTCGTGCTGTTCGGTTCAACACAAGGACATTAGCTCATTTAGAATTTTCCATTCGACATTCTCTCCTCTTTGGGTAGGAGTTGTACTCGGGGGTTGTAAATAATGACAAGGCTGAGATTTTTATTATGTTTAAATTGGGCACCATGATTTTGACCTTATTCCCCAAACTTCCCTTCTTTTCTTCTGTTTGACATACACAGGCTATTTATACATATTCCAGCTTCCACCTGAAGTCCGTGACTCAGGTTTATGAATGGTGTTTGTGTAACACATGTGCTGTGTTTTAAAACGCAGCGACCGCTTGAGTGTCTCGCCTACCTGGCTGTCTCATTTAAACGCATTACAGGCTGGCTTCATCTCCATATGGATGGTAAACTGGTAGGTAGACAAAGAGAAGTTTCAAAAAAGCATTTTCCTTCTAAAACTTCTACTGAAAACAGAATGTAGACTTCTGATCTGAGGTTGAAGGTATGGAACCGGAGGATTCAAGGCAATATTTTGGGGAGCAGGCTTCCCCTTGGCCAATACCCACCGTCCTGGCCGGGTAACTGTGGTTGCGGTGGAGAGTTTCCTTTAGGGCTGGTTGGCTCCATCTCTGACTCCATTCCTGAGACAACCAGCCACCTTCATCCAGAGAAGCCAGCTCTGGGTTCCAGGCTGCAGGCAGCAAAGCTAACCCCACCGCCATCTTGAAAATGCAACTGAAGTCAGAGGGTAAATGGTCCATATTACTTCTCACCACGGAGCTGTCGTTTGTTTTTATACTTTGCCTCCTTCCAAAAAGATTTGAAGTGGCTTATAATAGCAGGCACTAGTATGCAAAGACTGTTAAAATGGAAATAGGAAATCCAGACTTAAAAAGGTGGAGGACACAGAGATACTGACTTCCTGAGGTACTCTATTTACTGGGGATTGAGCATTAAATTTGATATCATTTCTCTTAACAGTAAATAATAGCAGTTCACATTTACACAGAGCTCTTCAGATTGCTTTTGCATCTCATTTGACTTTCCTCACCATCCTGTGAAGTTGATACTATTCTTTTTCTCATTTTCTAAGTGAGGAAGCTGAGGTTCAGAGAGGGCAAGTGACTTACCTATAGTCACACAGCAGTCCCAGACCTGCCTTTGAACCCAGATTGTCTGACCTTAAAAACTCCATGTTCTTCTGTTTTAAACAGAGCACACGTGTTACACAAACACCACTCATAGACCTGAGTCACAGACTTCATATGGAAGCTGGTACACTGAAGAGCTGACAGAGTAGCTTAGGGTTCTGTTAAGGTTTGATTAGCATTAACTTTTTGAGAGAAAGAGAGTATTTTAAAAAGAGAGTTACAGAGAAAGTATATCTTCCTTCATGTGCTAGCCTCAGTCTTGCTTTATTGTGGGAGGTTCTTCTCTAAGGCGGTCCTCTAAAAGCTTTAAAGGTGTCAGATGTCTCTTGGGCAGTTCTTATGTTTATGACAGAGAAACATCCAAATATTTCTCTCCCACGAGTTGTGACTGGGAGATAATTCCAGTGGTTGTTGGGAGTTTGAGCCAATTTTCAGTTGCTGGGAGAAGCTAATTATGATGATAAGAATCAGAGTAATGCGCACAGTTGGTGGAGCCGTGTTGTGTACCAGGATTTATGCCAGGACCTCTTCCAACTCTCACAGTGATCCTACAAGGCAGGTTGCATATTCTCACCCCCAATTTACAGGTCAGAAAAACAGGGAGGCTCAGGACGGATGAGTCTTCCCTGGGTGAATCAGCCAGACCAGAGCTCGAGGCTACAAATAAATGGCCAAATAATAACAATAGCTAAAATTGAGGTGTTGGGCATTATTCTATATGTTTTGTGTGCTTTTGTCTGATCCTCATAACAATACCATGACGTCGATATTATCTCCGCTTTATAGATGAAGAAAGTCCCAGAATATGAGTTACTTGCAGCGACCCAGAGCTAGTAAGGGGTGCGTATATAGCTACAGCTGGAATTTAACCCCAGGTCTGCCTCTTCACACATAATTTTTCCTTCTTGGATATCTTTGTTGCTCATTGTTTGTCCCACAGAAATGACCGAAGGGAGGAAGGGGAGTGAAGCAGGAGAAACAGCACCCTGGATAAATCACAAAGTGAATATTACCCTTGGGTGATGGAGAGCTCATCCTACCAAGCATGTATGTGGGCATCAAGTGGTGGGGGGGCACACACATTATGTGAGGGTGGCACTGGTGGCCTGGTTCCCATTGCCTTAGGGAGGCAGAGTGGATAGGCTTGGCATGGCTGTGCCCAAAGGGTCAGAGCGGAATCGGGGGGGGGGGGACTAAATTTACTTTTCACTTCATTAATGAAGTGAACGATGGCACCCACTGCTCTGACTTGCTGTAAAGATTAAATGAGTTCACATTTGCAGAGAACTTAGAAGAGCGCCCTCACATGGTAAGCACTAACTCTTTGTAGGAGGTGAACCTTCCTCACCATCCTTATTCTGCCCGGTGCCCACCCAGGGCAGGGTCCTCTGTTGGGAGGGAAGTCACCTGGCCATGTGGGAAGGGAGTGAAGACCCTGGACCCTGCTACCCTCCTCATGTTTTCATCTGTAGTGTCCTGAGTGGAGGTCATGCTGGGACATGGCATCTCTTTTCAATGCCGTGTTCTCTGGCCAATCATGATAACAACTGCTGTTGAGTACTTGCCCTATGCCAGGTGCTGTACAAAGCACTTGACGTGCAAGCGGGGGGGGGGAACTAAATTTACTTTTCACTTCATTAATGAAGTGAACGATGGCACCCACTGCTCTGACTTGCTGTAAAGATTAAATGAGTTCACATTTGCAGAGAACTTAGAAGAGCGCCCTCACATGGTAAGCACTAACTCTTTGTAGGAGGTGAACCTTCCTCACCATCCTTATTCTGCCCGGTGCCCACCCAGGGCAGGGTCCTCTGTTGGGAGGGAAGTCACCTGGCCATGTGGGAAGGGAGTGAAGACCCTGGACCCTGCTACCCTCCTCATGTTTTCATCTGTAGTGTCCTGAGTGGAGGTCATGCTGGGACATGGCATCTCTTTTCAATGCCGTGTTCTCTGGCCAATCATGATAACAACTGCTGTTGAGTACTTGCCCTATGCCAGGTGCTGTACAAAGCACTTGACGTGCAAGGTCTCATTTAATCCCCACAGCAATGCTATGAGGTAGGCACTCTTCCTGTCTCCAATGTATAGTTGAAAAACTAAAAATTACAGAGGTTAAACAAATGAGCAACTGTCACAATTCCTAGGAAGTCATGGAGCCTAGACTCCAGCCGAAATCTAGCCTTGACTATTTGTTCATTCCTGTACGGGAGGGCAATGGGATGTGAGAAAGAGGAGAAAAGGGGACGGAGAAGGGAGAACAGGAGAGGCACTGCCGGGAAGTGTGGGTTTGCTCACCTCACAGGTTTCACAGCAAACAAGTCCCCGTAAATGACTTTGTAATCAGAAGCATTTGCGCTATGGGATCTTGTGCAAGCTTCTTAAACTTTCTGAGACTCAGCTTTCGCATCTGTAAAATGGGAGGTAATAATACCTCCGTTTGAGTGAGGTTGTGATAAAGTGATTATGTACATAGAGTTTGTACAGAGAGCCTGTCTCGTACTGGATGCTCAGTAGATCTTGGTCCTTAGAGCTCTGTCTACTCCCCCTCCCTTCACAGAGCTGAAGGGAGGATTATGTCGCATAAAATGGTAAAACGCTTCTCATAGTAGCACATGGCAAGATTCAATGAATCTTAGCTTCCTTCCTCCCCTCCCTCCATCCTGGGGGCGGACATGGGTAACAGAGCTCAGCCCTCTCAAGCAAATCTCCCCTCTGCTTCCTATTTTTAGGCTTGGTAATTGCACCAGTGTTGAATAAAATTGTCACGGTTATGACAGTTTTGTTCTCCTACGTAAGAGAGAATGCAGCCAACAAAATGCTTTGACAACAATTAATTGCACTCACACTGTGTCACTGCACAGATCCATTTTATAACCTTCTCTTTTCCTGGACTTGGGCTGCTCTGTTCCAAACCGTGCTCTGGTAAATGAAGTTTAGATCTCAAGGCTGCCTCTGCTGCCGAGGCTTAGGCAGAAGGCTTTCATCACTGTAGGTGTTTGAGGAGGCATCTTGGAACGTGCCCCGTGACTTGCCTCATCCAGGCAGAGGGAAGCGTGAGCCGAGCAGAGAAGTGATTCTTCAGGACACAGCCAGGCGTTTCTAGGGAAAG